TATGGGTCTGTGTAATTTAAAAGGGGGCTGATAAAAGTAATGAACGTCAAAAGGGTAGGTGTAATAAGCTAAGGCTTCAGCCTACACCTTTAGGTCCTGTTTTGTCTCTTTTGTTTTTTTTAATGATAAGGAAAGCCTTAACTTAATGTTTATTTGTTGTCTATCTATAAGAGTATTTGAGTTTTATAAGTTGGAAAATAACTGAAATAAACTAAACTAATACTAGAAACATACGGGTTGGCAGGGCTATATAAACAATAACAATGGCATCTATCATAGTTCATATTCAAGTAAAAAACATGGAGTGGCTATTTTGGTGCATAAGAAATTGAATTTTCTAATTATTAAGGAACAAAAGGATGAGGAAGGAAGAATGATATGTTTGGAAGCAAAAATTAATGGAATAAAAGTTAATTTATGTAATATATATGCTCCAAACGTGAAAGATCCGGGTTTCTTTCATAAAATAAATAAATTAGTGGGAGGGAAAGATGATGGGCATACAGTTATTGCCGGGGATTATAATCAGGTTTTAGATGGGGCCCTAGATAAAACAACTTTCTCGAATAATGTACCTAAAGATAGAATGGCAATTAAACTATTGATGAAGGATAATGGATTGATTGATATATGGCGGCTTGTCAGTCCCAGAGAGAATATACATTCTGTTCTCATAATCACAAATTTCATTCCAGGATTGATTGTTTTCTGATTAGTAAAGATTTGGTTGAGACTGTCTCAGAATGTTTGATAGGATCCATAGCACTTACTGAACATGCTGCAGTGCAACTAGGTTTAACATTGGAGTCAGATAGGGTAAAGAAAAATAGATGGAGGATGAACATATCTCTGTTTCAAGATCCCCAATTCAATAATTTGATAAAAGAGGAACTTGACCAATTTTTTCTGCTGAACATTGGTTCAACCGATAGGGTTGGAACGGTTTGGGAGGCCTCTAAGGCTTATATAAGGGGAAAAATTATAGCTTATTCCAGTAGAAAAAAAAGAGAACAAACACAAAGAATAAATAATCTTGAGTCTTGGCTCAAAGAACTAGAGAAAACAATATTTGGAAAATATAATGATACAGTATTTAAACAAATATGTGACCTGAAACTTCAAATAAATGAAATATACAACAAAAAAGCTGAGTACGCCCCGTTTAGACTAAAACGTAATTTTTATGTGGTGAGTGGTGAGTGGTGAAAAATCTGGGAAATTACTGGCTAGACAGCTGCGTCAAAAGGAGTCTAGTCATGCTATAGCCTCTGTTGAAAATAATAAAGGGGAATTGTTGACAAACACTAAGGAGATTAATAAGACATTTGCAAATTTTTATAACCAGCTTTACAAATCAGAAATTAATCCAAAGGTGAGTGATTATGAAGCATTCTTCTCAAAGATTGTTTTGCCATAAATATCATTTGATCAGTAAGATTATCTTGATAGCCCTATAACAGTAGAGGAGGTAAATAGTGCTATTTTATCGATGAAGGCTGGAAAGTTGCCTGGTTTAGACGGCTTTCCCTCAGAGTACTATAAGAGGTATGTCGACAAACTAGCCCCTATCCTTGTGACAGTGTTTAAAGAATCATTCCTATTTGGTAAGCTACCAGAAACATTTAATGAAGCTTTAATTTCTTTAATTGCTAAAAAAGATAAAGACCTAACGGACCCAGGAAGTTTTAGGCCCATCAGTCTAATTAATGTGGACTGCAAAATTCTTACAAAGGTCCTCGCTAAGAGGGTAGAAAATATTTTACCATCCGTAATACAAGCGGATCAAGTAAGATTTATAAAAGGAAGGTCATCCACAGATAGACGTCTGTTACATCTCATACAGCTCAATCAGAACGAAAATATACCAATAGCTGCCTTTTCACTAGATGCGCAAAAGGTGTTCGACAGGGTCCTTCTCAAATAGATCAGGCTATGTAATAAACTGGCAAAAATCTGAAGGTATGCCAATATCAAAAGGGTGTAACCAATCACTTATTTCCAAATTTGGATTTAAATGGATCCTAACTGGAATGAAATATTTAGGTATTAGGCTATGTCCAGATATTGAAAATATTACTTCTATTAACATGTCTCCTTTAATTAAAAAAATTATAACAAATCTGGACAAATGGAAACTATTAAATTTAACATTATGGGGGAAAATTAATATCATTAAGATGAACGTAGCTCCACAATTTAATTATATCTCTATGATGGTACCAGTAATTATTTCTGATGGAATTTTCAAACAATATAATCTTCTGATTACAGACTTTTTGTGGAATGGAAAAAAAACGAGAATAGCTCTGAAAAAACTGTTTGCCTCAAGAGAATGTGGTGGATTGGCCCTCCCTAATATGGAGTTGTATAACATTGCATTTGAAATGAATAAATTAACAAGGCATTGGGTAAAACATGGATCTAACCCATGGGTAAAAATAGAGGAGGTGTTAGCAGCATCATTTGGGGTTGTAGGAATGTTATCTCAGAAGAATATAGTAACACAGACAAAAGAGAGGAGCCTAATTTTACAGCGCGTGGGCGAGAGCACGCCCACTGACAATATAAGCAAAGTTATTCCTCTATATGGAATAATTCTTCGATCTGTATAGGAAAAAAGAACTCTAGCAACACTAGAAGAACAGGCAGCAAAAATACAGCTATGCAACAAGTTGATCACAAGATACAAAATGTAAGAACACAGAGCTCTACCTAACATGACGGAATTATCTGGCAGCATAGTGTAGTGAAGACCAGGCTTTTTTAGACAGGAAGATGAGGTGAGTGAAGACAGGTGTGCCTCATCTGCTGCTGCAGGAGAAGCCAGCCACACCCCCTGACACACACATGCACTGCAGAACAGAAAAGAGGGGAGGGAGAGAGAGCAAACTCAAAAACATACCACAGGAACCAAAATCATCACAGTACCCCCCCCCCTCAAGGGACGCCTCTTGGCGGCCTACCAGGCTTGTTCGGGTACTGGGTGTAAAAGTCTCTGAGGAGATCAGGGTCCAAAATGAGGGAGCAAGAGATCCATGAACACTCCTCTGGCCCATACCCCTCCCAATCTACCAAATACCGGAAGCCCCGGCCCTGCCTACGTACATCCAACAACCGCTGGACGGTGAATGCAGGGTGGTTGTCAATGATCCGGGGGGGTGGAGGGGGTTCGGCCGGAGGGCTCAGAGGACTGATGGAAACTGGCTTAAGGAGTGGCACGTGAAACGACGGGTGGACATTCAAGGAGGGAGGCAGCTTTAGCTTAACCACACTGGGATTAATAATGTGATCAATTTCAAATGGGCCAATGTACCTGGGTGCCAGTTTCCGGGATTCGGTTTGAAGTGGGAGGTCATGGGAGGATAACCAGACCTTCTGACCAGGCTGGTAATCTGGGGCTGGAGTGCGGTGGCAGTCTGCCAGTCTCTGGTTCCGAGCAGCAGTGCGGATGAGAGCTGCCCGGGCTTCACGCCAGACTCGGCGGGCACGCCGGAGATGCCCCAGCACCGAGGGAACTGCCACGGCCGTCTCCTGGGCTGGGAACAGTGGGGGTTGGAAACCATTAGAAGCCATGAATGGAGACATACCTGTGGCGGAGCAAACTAGGGAGTTGTGGGCATATTCAACCCAGGAAACCGGGTGATGAGGTGACACAACGAAGGGCTGCTTCCAGGTCCTGATTCGCCTGCTCCGTCTGACCGTGAGTTTGTGGGTGGTAACCCGACGACAGGCTGGCCGACGCCCCCAATGCCTGGCAAAAGGCTCTCCATACCTGGGAGGAGAACTGTGGACCTCTGTCTGACACTATGTCCTGCTGAATGCCATGAAGTCTGAAGACATGCTGGATGAGCAGAGTAGCAGTCTCGAGAGCAGAAGGTAGTTTAGGCAGGGGAATGAAGTGCACAGCCTTGGAAAAACGGACAACTATAGTTAAGATAGTGGTGTTACCTTCCGATGGAGGCAGGCCTGTGACAAAATCCACGGCGATGTGAGACCAAGGTCGGTGAGGAATGGGAAGGGGGCGAAGAAGGCCAGCGGGGGCATGGTGAGATGCTTTGCTGCGAGCGCACACGGAGCAGGTGGAGACATACTCCCTCGTATCAGCGAACATGGAGGGCCACCAGAAGCGCTGCTGAAGAAGGGCCAGGGTCCGATGAAAACCTGGATGGCAAGTAACCTTGGAGCCATGTCCCCACTGGAGCACTGGAGATCTGGCAGACGGAGGCACGAACAGCCGGTCCAGTGGACAATCCTCGGGAGCCGGATGATCCTCTTGGGCCTCCTGGACCACCCCTTCAATCTCCCACCTGGCTGCTCCCACCACACAGGAAGATGGCAGGATGACTCAGATGACTCCTCAACTGGAGGGGCGAACTGACGTGACAAGGCATCAGGCTTGACATTCCTGGATCCCGGCCGGTAGGTGAGCGTGAAGTTGAACCGGCCCAGGAACAGGGCCCACCGAGCCTGGCGTGAGTTGAGCCTGCGGGCGGA